CTAAATATCTGACTCTGATTCACTCTGATTAGGAAGGCTAATATAATAATTGAACTTTATTGATCTTACATTGGAGAAATTGCATTTAACTCATCTCCTTGGGGAACAGTAGGCTGCCATCGTAGGGCCCCTGGAGAGCAGTATGGGGTTAAAGGTCTTGCTCAGAGAGCCAGAGTGTCAGTCTGTGGGAGGGGGGCTCAAACTTAGGACCTCAGGGTTCCATAACCACTAGGCTGCCACCCCCTCTTTTTTTTTCTGTATAGTTTTTATTTTTCTTACGGGTACTACGACGGAGTATTAGGGCCACACATGAAGAGAAAAAATATTTTTGCCATGACGAGATTAAACTTGACATGTCGACTTTAAACTCGCCATTTCGAGAATAAAGTTGAAATGTCATGTTGAGTTTAATCTCGACGTGTCGACTTTAAACTCGCCATTTCGAGAATAAAGTTGAAATGACTGACATGTTCTCAAATTCAGAACTGCGAGCCTTGGTAAGCATAGGGAAAGACGTTACGTTATTATTGGTAGGCCACCGCTTCCTGTGATGATTATACAGTTGCAGCACGTCAGAGACTACCTTCACTCTTAAAAAGCAGACTGCAGCTGTGAAGCGCGGTTGCTCTTTTCTCCAAACTTTGGAATGTTGAGATTGAAGTCGCCACGATATATCAACTTTATTCTCGAAATGGCGAGTTTAAAGTCGACAGGGCGAGTTTAAAGTCGACACGTCGAGATTAAACTCAACATGACATTTCAACTTTATTCTCGAAATGGCGAGTTTAAAGTCGACAGGGCGAGTTTAAAGTCGACACGTCGAGATTAAACTTAACAAGACATTTCAACTTTATTCTCGAAATGTTGAGTTTAATGTCGACATGTCGACTTTAAAGTCCACATGTCGAGTTTAATCTCGTCATGGCAAAAATATTTTTTCTCTTCATGTGTGGCCCTAATACTCCGTCGTAGGATACCAACCATAATATATATTTCAATATTTTAAAAAGCAGTTATTCGATTGTGAAAATGAGTATTCAACTGGAAAAAACACATCAATGCTGCTTTTGGATCAGTTCAGTGCATCCAGTCACTACAGCTCTGGCCGTCATGGCCCCTAACCTCAAAGAGGACACTCCAACTGCCTGCAGCTCACGTCACCCACAAACAGCCGTTATTAGAGGACTGGACAGCAGCAGAGAGATTTCTTAGCTTAGGCTACACTCTGAGTTAATAATCATAAAAGGGTGACTAAAATGCAATATTATACCCAACACTAGATCTAGTCNAATACTGTAAAAATGTCCACAGCTGTATATTGATTATTTATTTTTCCTATGCACTGTATTTATATTTGTAAAAACAATGTACAGTAACTCATTTCAATTCAGTTTATTTATATAGTGCCAATTCACAACACATGTCATCTCAAGGCCCTTTACACTTTACTTTACTGGAAGGCGAACCCTCACACTTAGTATGCTTGTAGCAACAGTGGAGAGAAAAAGCTCCCTCTTAACAGGAACAAACCTCCAGCATAACCAGACTCAGCATGAGAAAAAAGCAGAGAGAGCATAGTGTTAGAGATTGAACAAAGAAATTCTGAAGGGTAGGAAAATAGAGATAGATTGAAGCAGAATGATGAAAAAGGGGTCCCTATGTCCTCCAGCAGACTAAGCCTATAGCAGCAGAACTATAGAGATAGCTCAGGATAACCTGAGCCTCTCTAACTATAAGCTTTATCAGAAAGCACGGTATTTTATTTGTTTTTTCTATTTTTCTATACTTTTTTTTTTTACCTTATTCTGTTATTTTTATACACTTTTTAAAGGTCCATATATATATATATAAAATTTTGAAAAACTAATTCGGGTACAGACTTGTTCTCCTGATGTAACGTATAAGTGGCCACAGCATAATGTACACAAAATTCTAAAACATAATCCTCCTACAGCGCACCTTTTGTAACAGAGGAACACACCAACATTAAAGACAAAGATAGTCTGATCGAGTTTTGTATTTTAGTAGTAGGATGAACTCTAGAGAGATTCTGTTTTCTCATTAGTGAGGAATTAATAGAAAATATTGACAGCCATGTATGAAAGACGGGAGGCACCGAGGTGTGCGGGTCTGTGCTGTAAAATTAGCCTAGTAAACTAGCCCCACCTGCTAGCGGCCAAAATAATTTTTGCCTACACATTTAATCTCACATTTAGTCTGGTTTATCAGGCTACTGTAAAATAACACCTGCAACTGTCCAAATGATGTTTGTCTCGAACTCTTGAATTGTATTGAACACAATAGAAGGAGGAAATTATGTAAATATGTTTATGTGATAAATGCAGAGTGATCCAATTAAGCAACAAAACGTGCATTCATTACTTGTCTAGTAGTATAATGCACATCTTATAGGCAGCCACAATTTGTAAGAGTGTGGCAGATATGATCTGTATGGAGAAGATGTAGGCAGAGGAGAAAGAGAAGAGAAAGGTCCTTCTCTGTTAGAGTGAACAGCTTTAAACTGATATTAAACTGAGCAGATACTGAGTAGAAGTTGACTCTCTAGGACACACCCCCTCCTCATTTACATAATGATCCAGAAATGCATACAGAAATGTAAAAAGGACAAGCAGAAATTACGGAGCCCCTCTGATGACATGGTCAAAAAAAAAATTTTATTGTGGCCACGAAGTAGTATTTCGTGCGCACAAAGTAGTATTTCGTGGCCACGCAATAAGTATAACGTGCGCACGAAATACTACTTCGTTTTCCACGCAATAGGTTTAACGTGCGCATGAAATACTTATTAATAATATTAATATTATTCCTGGACAACTGGGTAAGCAAATCGAGCGCGCCTTCTCTAAGGTCTAAGGCGCGCTCGATTTGCTTACCCAGTCGGTCTCCGCCAGTCACGTGACATTTGTTGCTAAGACGCTATTTTAGCTGGAAAAGGCGTAGTGTAAACAACCGCAGCATAGCTAAACGAAGGACTAAAGGCCCGTTTACATAGCAGCCTGTCCAAGATAAGTCATTACAGTTAACATAAGCCTGAAAACAGGGGCGGATTTATTGATATTATTAATAAGTATTTCGTGCGCACGTTATACTTATTGCGTGGTTAGAAGTAGTATTTCGTGCGCACTTTATACTTATTGCGTGGCCGCGAAATACTACTTCGTGGCCACAATTAAACATTTTTTTTGACCATGTCATAAGACGGGCTCCGTAAGAAATAAATAGCGTTTAAGAAATAAAGAGGGTAAAAAAATACAAAGAAAGAATAATACAGACAAAAATATTATCGCATGCACATAAATAAATACTTAAAAAATAAGTAATAAATAAATAAAGTTGAAGATTATAATGGACAATTAATAAATGAGGTAATTATGACAAAGGCGAATAAATAAAGAAACCAATTACGGTAAAAGAGATATATACATTTATATCTCACTGTATAATTTAATTTCTATCTACATTTATTTGTTTATTGTATTTTTGGTGGCAATTAATTGTATGCTTATTTTTTTATTTATTTCTGTATTTATTTTTAAGTATGGCAGAGTTGGTCCTCCATAGTCTCATCGGCTCAAAATTGTTTATTAAAATCCTTTTAACAGTAATGAAAATGAATGGAAAGGGAATTGTGCTTCCTCGGCCACCGTAGCAGAAGTAGGCGGGGTTTGTAGAGGAAGTTGGGATGTTTTGTCGTCTGTAAATGTTCGAGATTTCTACAAAACAGAAAGCGAACGCCGTTAAACCCGGGGCATGATTAGATGAGGAGTTAGGGCTGCGGGTTGTGTCGATAATCTCCTCTCAGGTTGTTTTTCTCCTGGTTTTACCTCCAACCAGAGATCCGCTGAGTCCCAGGCGGCCATGATGAGCTCCCCGGCCTCCATGCACGTTCAGCTCGCTGCTGTCATAGAGGATCTGGCCCAGGCTGCAGTGGCAGAGCTGCTGAGGCTGGAGGAGGAGAGGCTGGTCAGCAGGACCCAAGGGCCCGGCGAGGAGAGACACGAGGCGGGGAGACTGCAGGCGGAGGACGAGGAGAAGTTGGTAAGGAGGAGTTTACTGTGTGTTTGGGGTCCCACTGCAGCCCCCACAGACCTGCAGAACATACATACTGCTTCAACATTAAAACATGCACTGCAATATTTCATATTTGTGAAATGAAATCATGATAGCAGTTTGATAAGGAAGCAATGAAAATATAAACACATTCATTTAAATTAAACAAAATAACCTCTTCCATTTAAATTAAATGCTGTCAAGATTTGTGGAGAAATAAATAATATATCAGCAAATAACACATTAAAGCAAAATGGACAATTTCCTGTAATCATTTCTAATTTCATTATCAGTGTATTTATTGAAGTAATGCAACAAGAAAACAAAATAAATCAAATCAATTACAATAACCAAGATCATCAGCAAATGTCATCAGGCTCAGATATAAACAACATATCAGGACATCCTATAGTAGATTTACTGTACAACTGAATGTAATAAAGCCTGAATTAAACTGCTGGGGAGAGTAGAAGCCAAACCATGGCTGCTAGTTAGACTTATTAAAAAATATTTTAAAGGTAGAAGGTGTGCAAACTCACACATCATCAATGATAATTATACTACTAACAATACATTAAGCAATGGCAAAGATATCCCTTGCTCTGCCTTTTTTATTCTATTCAGTTTATTTCTATAGCGCCAATTCACATCATGTCATCTCAAGGCACTTTACAATTCAACCAGATCATCCAGTCAGATTGATTCAAAGTTTTCTATCTAAGGAAAACCAGTTGATTGCATCGACTCATTGACTCAAATACAATCTCTCACACTAAGCATGCTTGTAGCGACAGTGGAGAGGAAAAACTCCCTTTTAACAGGAAGAAACCTTCAGCAGAACCAGGCTCAGTGTGAGCGGCCATCTGCTGAGGCCGACTGGGGTTCAAGGAGACAGAAGCAGAGATAGAAAAAGAAGCACAGATAGAAGAGGCAACTGTAAAATGCGGCTCCGTCCAGGAAGCAGCCAGGCAGACGAGCTCCGAGCCAGCTCCCATGTCACAGGATGAAGAGAGCACAGTCAGAGACGAGCTCCGAGCCAGCTCCCATGTCACAGGATGAAGAGAGCACAGTCAGAGAAACAGGACTACACTGAAAAACAGGCCGATCTCCAACATCTCTGTAGTGAATATCTCACTGTGTTATGCTGCAGGTGGTTCATATGCCGACCAGCAAACAGACAGCAGCCACGTCACATGTACTCTATATTCCAGTTTTCTCCATCCATCCATCCATCCATCTTCCTCCGCTTATCTGGGGTCGGGTCGCGGGGGCAGCAGCTTAAGAAGGGAGGCCCAGACTTCCCTCTCCCCAGCCACTTCTTCTAGCCCCTCAGGAGGAACTCCAAGGCGTTCCCAGGCCAGCCGAGAAACATAGTCCCTCCAGCGTGTCCTGGTCCTCCCCCCGGTGGGACGTGCCCGGAACACCTCACCAGGGAGGCGTCCAGGAGGCATCCTAACCAGATGCCCAAGCCACCTCAACTGGCTCCTCTCGACGTGGAGGAGCAGCGGCTCTACTCCGAGTCCCTCCCGGATAACCGAGCTTCTCACCCTATCTCTAAGGGAGAGCCCAGCCACCCTACGGAGGAAACCCATTTCGGCCGTTTGTATCCGCTTGTATCTCGTTCTTTCGGTCATGACCCAGAGTTCATGACCATAGACGAGGGTAGGAACGTAGATCGACCGGTAAATCGAGAGCTTCGCTTTTTGACTCAGCTCTCTCTTCACCACGACGGACCGGTACAGCGCCCGCTTCACGGCAGACGCTGCACCAATCCGCCTGTCGATCTCCCGTGATTTTTCTGGATTCTCATTTAGATTCTCTCTAAGGAGAAATGTCCCTTCAATCAAAAAATTACTGACATTTTCTGTTATTGGAAAACTTAAAAAAAAACTTCTTTTCCTCTTTGTAACCTGACAGGTGAGATTTGCCTCCATCATGGAGACTCTGGGGAACGAAGCTCTGGGGAAGATCCTGAACATCATTGACAAAGCCAGACTTGATCTACAATTGGGTCAAAGCAGTAAGAAGCCACAGCCCAGCATCCTCAACATCCTCAACAACACAACCCGGGGTATGATCGCAGGCAACGCCCCCACAAATGTCACCCACCACTCCAAGTAGATACATGCGGATGATGTCATTCTTACTGTCATTTATCATCATTAGTAACATTATTTGTTCCCAGCAGATCTTGAGCACTCCTACGGAGTCAGAGACCAAAGCGTGACCCAGGTAAGTCTGTCCGACCCGGACATGTCTGTGTTCCCCCCGCTGACATCACTGATATCTGGACATTTGGTCCCTGCAGGTCAGAAGAGGAAGTGATGCTTTGGAGGCGCCGTTTTTTCCAGCAGTCAGCATTAAAGATAAAGACGGGAAGATTGACCTGGGAACCATTAGAGAAAGTGAGAGCACGATCCATGTCTGCTGATAAATAAAACACGCTTGGAAAATGTTGCAGACATTTTGACACAAAGCTGAAAGCTGATGTTTCTAGAAAACCAAGTAACCAGGAGATCTAAACAGAGCTTCTCCTCAAATGTTGCTCTCTTATTAATTCTAGGCCATCACTCCCCCTGATGATTGGTAAAACCAAATGCCTTGGCAAAGGCACTGCAATTCTGACAACTAACAGAAGTGAAATTTAGGGAAAAAAGCAATGAGAGCATGTGCTTGCTAAGCTCTATAAAGTAAACTTGTTGGCTAAAGAAAAAGTAATAGAAATACTTTATTTTGCATTAAAAGAAAATCAAAATGTTCAGATTATGCCTGTTGATTATTTTCTGTTGGGTTTTTTTCCCAGGAGCTTGTGTGGAAGCGGCTCCACAGTCTGAGCTGCAGAAGCCAGAGTCCTCTGCCGTCTCTGAAACTCACCTGTTGGTCTCCCTGAAGTCGTACCCCTGCTCTGTGTGTGAGAAGTCCTTCTCATCTCAGAGCCACCTGAAGTCTCACCAGCTCATCCACGCGGGGGAAAAGCCATTCACCTGCAGCGTCTGCAGCAGCGCCTTCCACCAGCGGCAAAGCTTGCAGAGTCACATGCGCACGCACGTCAGCGAGCGCCCGTTCGAGTGTCCTGAGTGCGGGAAGCGGTTCTCAAAGCCGGCTCAGCTGAAGATGCACGCCGTCATCCACACAGGAGAGAAACCATACAGCTGCGATGTGTGTGGCCGCCGCTTTAACCTGCCACAGAACCTGCAGCGCCACACGCTCACCCACACTAGAGAGAAGGTCTTTATCTGCAATGAGTGTGGAAAGGGCTTCACCCGTGCCGTCACCCTGAAATCACACCAGCTTATCCACACTGGCCAGAAGCCATTTAAGTGCGAGCAGTGCCCCAAAGCTTTCCGCCATGCGGTTAACCTGAAGAACCACCAGAGGATCCACAGTGACCTGCGGCCCTATAGTTGTGACCTCTGTGGGAAGACGTTCCGACAATCTGTGAACCTGAAGATCCATCTCCGCATCCACACAGGCGAGCGGCCTTTCAGCTGCCAGCAGTGCGGCAAGACGTTCAGCCAGCAGAGCAGCCTGATCTCCCACAGTCGCACGCACTCCATGGACAAGCCGTTCCAATGCAAATCCTGTGACAAAACATTCAACAATGCCAACAGCCTTAAGCTTCACTTACGCATTCACACAGGAGAGAAACCATATATCTGCGACATCTGCGGCAAAGCCTTCAGCCAGGGAAGCCACCTGAGGACCCATAAGCGGCACGTTCACGCCGGCGGCAAGCAGTTCATCTGTGACAGGTGTGGCAAGAGGTACGCCGACCAGCGGTACCTGAAGCTGCACAAGTGCTGCTATGCATGAGCTGCTAAGAAACGGACCTACACTGAACTTTTCCACAGTGTTGTTGCCATGGAGACCTCTCTTTCCACAACAAGGACATCCTTTTCTGATGTTTTGTTTAGTCTGAACTCTCAATTTGAATTATGTTGATTCTGAGGCCTCCTTTGAATGTGTTTTATAAATTATAAAGTATATTTTTCACTTTTTCAAAAGATGAATAAATCTAACAAAGCCAATCCATCCAGCTGTGGTTTTTCTAAAGTACAGGGGCTCGAGGAAAAAAAAGGTGTTAAGGGCTGAATTATGAGCAGCTGTAATTGAAAATCTGTAAAAGTCTGGTTGCCTTCAATGTAAGTCCACACTGTGTTTTACAGTTATTTTTGCCAAATGCATTAAGTTAAACCAAGATTTGATTATTTCTATTTTATGAAATCAGAAGAAAAACATAATGTACATTTACAACAAGAAAAACTCAGAGTTTTGTAGAATAAGGCAAGCTGAGTAATCCATTATAAATATCATGGGTTAACATAATGATGAACATTTAGCCTTCCTAAAAATACCAACCCCACAGTTAAAGCTAAAGGATATTAAAAATCTTTTAAAAGCCTTTTACCACTGTGACCCTGCTGTTGTAGAAATTCAGTGCTGATATTTTTTAAAACCTTTCTTATTGCCTTGACCATCAAAATAATTTGTCGTTCTGTGATAATAGAGCCACATGTGACTCTGGAGCTGCTCTAAATCTTTGCTCTTCCAGTGATTTCTGGGACACAAACTGCTAAAAAGTAAGCAGCCAGATGTAAGGCTCTCTGTTTTGAACTGTTTATAAGCTTGGAAGAAAAATTTTGGTTATTATTGTGCAAAATAAATACCAATATGTATCAGATGGTTTAATTCATCTACTTTGAGGATAATCAGAAACATTGAGAAGGTAAATGGAGTTTTAGCAGATGTGGAGCAGGAGAAGCTCCATGGGTACCAAACTGCTGGACAACAAATTTAGCAAATATAAAGTTTCTATTTTTCTAATTGATTCCTGTCAGGGAAAACATGTTCTGTCAGTTTCTATTAGATAAGTTTGAAAACAAAATGCCACATTGAGCATCAACCTGCGACGTGAACTGCATGTCAGATGTCGACTGGTGAGATGTTTTATCATTTCTTTATGTTCTTGAAAGAATTGGAAGTAAACATATATGAATATGAAAAGACTAACATTTCAACATGTTTATCTAAATGCAGGTAATTTATTCAATCAGAGATTTGTTGTAAAATGAGTTTGGGAGTAAAGAGAAAGCCATGGAGCGGATTTTGTTCTATTAAATACAGTAAGCTTGTACATTATTCAGACTTTTTTGATGTCGCCCTTAAAGGTTATAGGTCATCAGAGGTCGGTAGAGTAGCACTACTTTGACATATTTTTACTCAAAATGTAGCAAACCAAGAATTACTCAAGTAAAGTTTTAAAAAAAGAATTTGGTAAGAAGGCTAATTATCTATTGAGTAACTAATAATAGCATCTGATTAATATTAAAAACTAAGCTAATAAAAAAGAAAAACATACAGTTATTCTACAAATCCAGGCATTGGAAGGAAAGGATACGACCAGACCTAAGAAACTGTTTTAGTTGATCAATTGTATAAAACCGACTGCTAAAAGTATTTGGTATTTTGCTTATCTCAAGGCTGAGGTTATCTCTAAGGACTTTTGCAGCTTTTCAAGTTTTTTATTTCTTTTTTTACAGTGAACTTAATCCACTTGCAGCCTTGGTAGAGAATGGTACGGCCAAGCTGAACAGCTTAAGTATAGGGTGGACTACAGTAATGACCCCCCTCCCCTTTGCTAGAGTGATTGTATATTTATGTTTTGTGCATATCAGTTTAAATTTTTTATATTATTTCAAGTTTTTAATAATAATAAAATAATTGAACTTTATTGATCTCACATAGGATAAATATACCTCTGCATTTAACCCATCCCCTTGGGGAGCAATGGGCTGCCATCATGGGAGCCTACTGCCAGGGAGCAGTGTGGGATTAAGAGTCTTGCTCAGGGAGCCACAGTGTCAGTCTGTGTTTGTGGGCTTCAAACTCAGAACCTCAGGATTCAAAGCTCCATCACTAGGCTGTCACTCCCCTGGTGAGCTGGCCAGGATTTCATTCTCCCCTATAAATTTATTGCAACAATGAACAGAACGCAGAATGAGTAAAAGTATTACAGTGATAAAAGCTACAGAAAATACTTAGGCACAAAAAATAAAAAACAAAGCAGATGTTTTCTGAGATCTTTCATATGTGCTTGCTTACAACATTTTGGTTTGTACTCTTGGAAATAAAGGATAAAAATTGCTTATTTTCCTTAACCAAACTGTTAAACAAAGTAAAAAAAATTCTAAAATGTATTTCAAAATAAATTGGCCAATAATAATATGCTGATAGAGTTCCTTCCCTGTTTAGACTGTTTGTTTTAACCGCGGTCCTCCGCCCGCCAAGTGGCGCTGTTCTGGCGCACTCCTTTCTGTTATGTTTCCGGGTCAGTCGGTTTCCTTGGCTGTGTGTGCATGATCATACACACGTGTTGGTTCAGCATTAAATCTGTAACTTCTACCCTAACAAGCAGCATTAGTTGTTAAGAACCAGCAGGAGAGGAGAAGAGAGGAGACTTCCTGCCGCCATGGGCCCGGTGAGAGAGAGAGAGACGACATGTTAGCTTTAGGATTATATGCAAGTTCCGGTTCTAGTTGACTAAGCTCCTGACGGTCAGGATCAGGAAGAATTAAAACCGATGGAAAGTTCTGAGCTTTAACTTCACTGAAGGTTTTAATTGCGTTTAAAATATGCCGGTTGCGGATCAGGGGAATGATTGCAGCTAACAGAAGGTCCGGTTCTGATGGATCTGGGTCAGTCAGGGTCGCACCGTGTCTGACTTTATCAGAGGCAGTATTATCCTATCACTCTGAGGACCTGAACACTCCTCCATAGTGTTTTTGGCAGTGATCTCAGGTCTCTGCTTCAGAAACACACACAGCTGTGAGGCGCACTTTTTGCCTTTGATGTTTTTCCTTTTCTTGCAATTCAATTCAGTTTATTTCTATAGTGTGAATTCACTACACACATCATCTCAAGGCACTTTACAGTTCAACCAGATCATCCAGTCAGATTGATTCAAAGTTTTCTAACTTAGGAAAACCAGTTGATTGCATCGACTCTTGGATACAATCCCTCACACTAAGCATGCTTGTAGCGACAGTGGAGAGGAAAAACTCCCTTTGAACAGGAAGAAAGAAACCTCCAGCAGAACCAGGCTCAGACATAAAATAATTTGCTAAAAAAAACATCTGAAGTAAACACTTAAAGCAGACAATGCTTTAATATATTTACATGATAAAACAGTTTGAAACAATCTGCTTTGTGGTTAACTAATTGCCCGTCTAGGTGTTGGAATTAGACCCATTTTTATTATCGTTTAGAGGTTGCTTTTCTGGTTGAGGTTTCCTTCCTCTACTCAGGAGAGAATTGCAACAAACTAACCCATACAAAGTGATATATGTATCATACACATTATTAGTTGAGTATTTAAAAATATCTTTATTGCTCCATGCTTTATTATGCAGAGCTGTACATTCAATAAATAACTTGAACAGAACCTTCCTGTCAGCATGAAGTAGGTCAAAAACTCATAAAGAAAAACACCTGTCCTCCTTAATGAAGATCAAAATAGGCATTATGGAGAGAATTTTGTTCCAAATATTTTTGCAAGCAAAGAACACGTTTTGTAAATAAAAATGTTGAAATGAATGTAATCTAGAAAAACATACTGAAAAAAAATTTATGCATTTTTTTTCTTTGTTCAAAACTTTTGAAGCTAATTATTTTTTTACAGGTTTCATCTTTATTAAATTTCTATTATTTTCATTTTTTTTTTTTTTTGTAGATTGAGTTTTTACAAAATGCAGATGACGTTTTGTAGATCATGTTCTCTTCACTTCAGTTCCAATACAAACGCTTGTTTTTATGGAGCGCATTTTTGTCCCACTACATTTGCAATCACCACTTTTTATTGAAATTAAAACACATTTTGACAATTTTTTTTCTATTTGACTCTAATTAGACTTATGAGATAAAATATATATTTGGCACAATTTATGGCCGTTTGTGGCTTAATTGTGCAATCGACAGGTCCACCTGACACGCCGGCTCTAAAAACTTTGTTTAAAAAAGTTACTTGAACTTTTTCAATCCTATTTTCTACGATTTTAGTGAAGATGTTTAGTAAAAAAAAAAAAAGTCTTTTGTTGGGTTTTCTTGAGGTTTTCATTGTGTTTTGTTGAAATTTTTGTAAGAGATCAAAATAAATCCATACGTTTATCACTTTTGATGTCTCTTGGTTTATCAGACAAGTTTGATCGTATTTCCCTTTTTTTATCTGATGAGGTCAGAATTCTGACCAGGACCTTCACAAACTGTTAGAGGTTTCCATTTAGAACTGAAAGCTAAGAGATAAATTCTTCAATAAATTTGTTTTATATATTTTTTTTAGGCTGAAGTTGCTTCTAAAATCCTCAGAATTCAAAAGGTTGCACTTTATTAGAAGCATCTTGCTGAAATGGAAACGTGTTCTTTTGTGCCCCGCCCCACAGCTACGCTCAAAGAAGCGCCGGCCGACGTTCCGCCGTCTGTTGAAGACGAGCGGCATGAAGCTGGAGAACAAGATGAAGAACCGACAGATGAAGCAGCAGAATGTGGCCAAGAAGCAGCGCAAGGAGCAGAAGAGGCTGCGGCAGGCCATGAAGGGCGCCAGCCTGCAGATGCCCCGCCCCCTGGAGACGTACAGGAAGAGACCAGGTGAGGTGCGCCTAAGTTTGAACGCATGCGTCACTTTAGTTCTTCAGTAAGACTGTTCTCATCCGTCTGACAGAGGAAGAGGAGGAGGAAGAGTTCCTGGACAGCCTTCCCACAGACATGATGGATGATGCAGACTTGGAACAGTTGACCGCCATGGCCCAGAAAGCCTCCTTTATAACCAGAGACCTGTCGTCATGGTAACGCACACACTGATATGGTCAATGTGCGATTGATTGAGCTGATGGAGACTGAGGTATGTCTGACTTTTTTTTTCCAGTGGGCCAGTCCACAGTGGCAAGAAGAGGAGCGCCGACGTGGTCCGCGGTTACGAGAAGGTTCCTAGAAAGATGGCGAGGGTGGAGGAGAAGGAGATGATCCAGCTGCTTCCTATAAAAGACAAAAGTGGAGTGATCCCGAGGAGCATGGAGAAAGGTAGCTTTCACATTTACTCAGCGTCTGATTGACCCCTGCAGCCACCTGTAAACATGAAGGCTCTGTTTGTCCCCAACAGTTAAACCGCATCCAAAGGACAAAGAAGAGGAAGAAAATGATGAAGAACCTGCAGAAACAGCAGAGCAGCAGGAGGAAGGTGGGACTTGCTACAACATGGTGGTCTGGGTGTGATGATTAGCTGATGTTCAGGTTCCATGTAGAACAGTAGTCTGCAGTTTAGCTGCACTGAAATGAACCTTTGAAAAAATAGAAAGTTGTCCTACAGCAGCTGATTAAACCAGAGTTCCAGAAAGAGCTGCAGTCTGACAGGAGTTTTCTATAATTGAGGTCTCCACTAGATGTAATTGATGGTGGTGCATTACAGTTCAATTCAG